CTCAATAAAGTTTTAATGAACTGTGATTACTCTAATTTTGACAATTAAAGGAAGGAGATACTGAAGGGGAGAGCACTGGAGTAAGCAAGAATATGTCCTCAAAGACCCACATCCAACTAATCCTCACCTCCTAAATTTCCACCACTTCCCAGTAGCCAGTTTAGTTATAATGGATTAAGTCATTGATAAGGTTACAGCCTTCATGATCAAGTCACTTCTCAAGGCCCCACTTCTGAATACTATTACAATAGGAACCAAGTCTTTCACACCTGAGCCTTTGGGGAACATTTTAATCCAAACTATAAGATCTGATGGTCTCCTCTTTGCCCCTAAATGCTGGGAATTGAATCCAGGGCCTCACCCATGCTTGCCTGACTAGTACTCTTATCTCTGAGGTACACTCCCAGTCCCTCCCTTATTTTTAAATTTTTAATCAATGAATGAATGAATTTTTTGGTACTGGGAATTGAACCTAGAGATGCTTTACCACTGACGTGTCCAGCTCTTTTTAGTTTTTATTTTGAGACAGAGTCTTGTTAAATTGCTTAATCCTTGCTAAATTGCTGAGGCTGAGCTTGAATTTGGAATCTTCCTGCCTCAGCCTCCTGAGTTGCTGGGATTATAGGCATTCACCACTGGGAAGGGCTCTACTTTTTTTCTTTTCTTTTTTATTTTTTTTAAACAAATGGATAATTTCTATAATATATGGATATACCTTAATTTTTAAAACTAGTCCTCAGTTGGTGAACATAAGTTTTATGGTTTTTACTACTACAAATACATGTGAAGTAAACATGTATTGTTTACACATCATTGTATTATACTCTGGCTAACATAATTTGGACCAAGTTAATTAACCTCTATGTGGCATTTAAAATCTATAAAGCTTTCAGTTAGTTCAACTAATGTATGTAAAATTTCTTGCAGACACCTTGGCTAAAGAAATGTTAGTTCTCATCTTGAAATCTACATAATGTTATGCTCATTTATGTTACTGAAAGCTTGTTTCTTGTCCCCAATACCAATCCAATAATGAGGATACAGTTTTGAGAAAAAGAAAAAATAAGTTTTATTGCTTTGCTAGCAAAGGAGAAACACAGGGACTCTTGTCCTAGAGGCTGTGATTCTGCCCATCAGAGGGAACAGAGTGTTGTAAACTAGATGATTCAGAGGAATCCTATTTTATGAGACTTAGTGGGGAGAGATTAGGAAGGAGAAGACAAGGGAGAAGAAGATCAGACAGAAGATCAGGGAGGAGGTCAGTTTAATTTTAGAGAAGCAAGGGATATATTCAAGGCATAAAGTGGATTAACATAATTAACATAAAGATTAACATAATTAACACAATTATTCTCATTTATTATTATTCTAAATCCTTTGTTTAGATTTCATTAATGAATAAAATGATGAAACATTTGTTACTGGGTGGCATTTTCACCAAGTTCCTGGGTTCTTGTAGTATCAGAAGAAGAAGATAAAAGCACAATTAAGATGGGAATAAGACTCTATTCTTCTTTTTTTTTTTTTTTTTGAGAGAGAGAGAGAATTTTTTTTTTTTAATATTATTTTTTAGTTTTAGGCAGACACAACATCTTTGTTTGTATGTGGTGCTGAGAATCAAACCTGGGCTGCACGCATGCCAGGCAAGTGTGCTACCGCTTGAGCCACATCCCCAGCCCAAGACTCTATTCTTTTTATTGGTATAGGGAATTTAACCCAGTCAGGCAAGAACCCAGCGGCTCTATCACTGAGCCACATCACCAGCCTCAAGACTCTATTCTTATGGTTGGACATAGGGCAGGTAGCACATGGGGCACAAAAAAACCCAGGTTGACTCAAATAAAGGACAAAAGTATACAGCTTTTATGGCCCTTATGGAGTAGGCAGGTGCTCATTCTCTTGATGTAATCACATGTAGAGAGAGAGTTTTAACTGCTACCCATGGTCTTCTACATCCTGTGTCTTCATTTGACTTATATCTCATTACCATCTAGTCTCCATCCAATAGTGAAAAATCATGAAAAAAAAATCAGGTAACAGTTTTTTAATTTACTCCTTTTTTGTACTGGGGTTTGAACTCAGGGCTGTCTACCACTGACCCATAACCCTAATCTTTTTTTCTTTGAGACAGGGTCTCAGAATAATTTCTGACACTGGGTTCAAATTGCAAGTTCTCCTGCCTCAGCTTTCTGAGTTGCTGAGGCAGGTGAGCGCCACGGCGTCAGGCTGCCCCTTTGACTTGTGGTGTTATCATCTAGGGTGCTGGGGTTGTTGTCTCTGTACAGCAAAGAATTAAAGAACAGGACATAAAGAGAACAAGCAAGCAGCAGGTCCAACCTCTCCAAAGAGAAGGGGCACTCCCTGCCCCCACAGAGCTGGGAATCAGGTGGGGAGTTTTGGCTTCTTTTTATGATCTCTGGAATTTCCTCTTTTTCTTATCTCCTCTACTCACTATTATTGATTGGTGCTCCCTCTGTCCATGGGTCTGTTTTAGTTTTTCTATTGGATCCCACCCACTTAGGAGCACAAGTACAGAGATGTCTGTCTGATTAGGTCCCCTGCTGGTGTCCACCAGCATTTTTGTCAACCAGGAAGATGACTTCCTTAGAAAACCATCTCCATGCTTCTTTTTTTTCTGGCCGTGCTGTAATAGCAGTCCACTTTAAGTTTTGAATAACACCCTTGCTGCTCTGCCACTGCAACTTATTTTAAAAAGGACCTGTTCTTTCTCTTCCTCTCTCTGCTCCTTCCTAATTGTTCCTCTCTCCCAAATCTGAGGATTTGGATTACCTTTCTTCACCATCCTAGACAGAGTTATCTGTCTAGACAAAGTTATCTGTCCTTGAGTACACACCTACCATAGGAATGAAGTAATCCAGACTTTGGGGATGGCACCAGAAGCTCTCAGAAATGACTATTTTACAACTCCAACAGACAACCGGAGGAATGTAGTCTATGAACCTCTTTTTAAAAGTCCTTGTTCCTTCTGATGGGCRGAATCATAGCCTTTGGGACAGGAGTCCCCTATATTTCTCCTTTGCTAGAAAAGCAATAAAACTTTGTTCCTTTTTCTCAAAACCATGTCCTTGTTACTGGATTGGTATTGGGGACAAGGACCAAATTTTCCCTAACACTGACACTGACCTCCTCATTTGCCACCTTGCCGTGGCTGCCTAATTGTTCCATATCTCCCTCAGTGGCACAGGCTTGTAATCCCAGAAGCTCTGGAGATTGAGGCAGGAGGATCCCACGTTCTAAGACTAACCAGTGCTACTAATCAAGACCTTGTCTCAAAATTAAAAATAAATAGGGCTGCAGATGTAGCAGAGCTGTAGAGAGCCTCTGGGTTCAATCCCCAATACAAGTGCCCGCAACACCCTCCACCGCAAAAAAAAAAAAAAAAAAAAGAAAGGAAGGATAGTGTGGTTACCTTCCTAACCATTTGTAAGACCTCTTGATGTATGCGAATCAAAACTAGATACAAGGATAGTGGCCAAGTATATGTAATTAAATATTGATCTATTTATTAGACATGCTACAATTATTTGTCCATTTCATTGTTTTTCAACCTTTGTTTTTGGGCATATGAAAAGCACAGCTTGTTGAGTTCAAGTTAGCAATTTTTTCCTTGCTTCTTGGTTGGGCATCTTGTTTAGAAATGGCATAAGCCGGTTTCTCCCATTTCAGAAATTATTTCCACGGTCACAATGTGGTGTGGTGAAAAGAACGTGGTATAACCTTATATCTGGCATAACCAAGTTGTGGTGCCCAACTTTCATTCTGTGCAACGATAAATGTCAATTTAACATTCTGACCCATTTCCTCATCTGCAAAATGAGGAAAGTAAGACCCACCTAAGAGGTCGGTAAATGATCGAAATGCCTAGTACCTAGTAAATTGCGCCCAGAGGGGCAGATATTGTAAAAAACGGCAATCTCCCTGGTAGAAGACTAAAAAGTTGAGGCGCAAATTTTGGTGAGTTTACATTCCATACGTCTTTCTGGGAGCTTTTTTATAAGCACTCCATTAAACTACAAACCCCATAATGCATGTAAATGTTTCTGTGTATGAAACTCTATTGGCTCGGGGGAGGGCAAAGAGCCAGTCCCCCCCCCGCCCCGCCCCCCGATTTTTCCTATTTAAAACACCCTGTCTCCACCTTTCCTTTAAGCACGTGCGGTACTTTTTCTTTCTCCCCGAATGCCAACTGTACAGGTTTCAAAGTGAGTTTTCCAAATAGAGAAATTGTGACTATCATAACACACATTTTTAACAACATGGGCTGTGTGAGGCCCTGAGATTCTGTCTAAATAATTTATTCTGTAAGTTTAGAATGAAGGATGACAATCACCACGATCATGTTTGGTAGTGCTTTTTACCCTCCGGGAACCTGGGTTCGTTCCTAGCCTGTTTCCTTCATGAGCCACCCGCCTCCTACACTTATTATTGATGTTCGACACACTCCCTATTTGCATACGAAGGTGGACTGATTGCTCCAGAGCGCCCCATCACTGCTGCGCTCCGCTTGCGCAGTGCCAGTAGAGGCGACGTGCGCTCTCCGTTTCACCCAGGCGCGAGCGCGGCGGCCGGGAGAGAGGCGCGTCGCGGCTCCGGCGAGTTCCGCTCTAGGGAAGATGCCACAAAGTGTGTTGCCCAAGCCCGCGCGGCGGCTGCCGGGCGCCAGCGTTCCCCTCTCGCCCTCCAGCGGCCCCACCAATTCGGGGTCGGGCGRCCGCGGGTGAGGGGAGGGGCGGGGAATTCCCCCTTCCACCGAACGTTCCCGATTGTTCACCGTCTTCACGTCAGCAGCAGGGGGTAATCCCCGACTCCAGCTGCTCCTGACGTCACCGAGCGGAGCCCCCGCCCCCCCACTGCGTCCCTGCCTCCCGGGCCTCCTCGAAGCCCCGCCCCTAGTCGTAGCCCCGCCCCGCCCCCAGCCGCCCGACGTAGAGGGCGGAGCTTCTTTGACCGGGGCGTGAGCGGTTGCTTCGGCCAGAAGGTTCTCTGGTGCAGGCGCTCCTCCTGCTGCCCCGCCCAGTAGGTTCGTTCGCACCGCTTCTTGCACACCCTTTCTCCCTCCTCCTTCTCCTCGCCCCGCCTTCCCTCCTCTTCTCCTCAGTCCCTCTAGTTCTTTCCCCGCCTCACCACCTTCCACGATCTCGCGAGACTTGGCCCAGAACATTGCGGATCGGGTCGGCGCCATTTTGGGACTGAGACTGGTTGTGGGGGAGGGAAAAGCGGCAAAAGGGGATTATTCAAAGTACCGAAAACCTCCTCCCGGGATCGAGYGCAGCGGCACCCCCAGGCCAGGGACACCTCTGGTGGGGCAGAAGGTAATATCGTCCTCTGTGCTCCACGCCGGAGTCTGGGGGAGGAGGGGGTTGCCCGTGTCGGCGTTGGGGTTTGAGGGGTCGGGAGCAGCGTTGGCGGCGCGAGGTGTGAGGCTGCCCGCGGCCGGGGGGGCGGCGGGGAGCCAGAGGGGCGAGGAGAGGGAGGCGCGGGGAGGCCTCGCCTGGGTGTTGACTCAGCCCCGGTGGCGCGGAGGTGGCGGTTGTGGGAGGGGGTGGGTGCTTTGCCTTGGCGGCTGCGTGGTGGGGGGAATGTTTGGCGGAGGCTGGAGCGGTGAGGCGCCCTCCGCGCTCGCTCTGCCTTCCTCAGGCCTCTCGCACGCGCCCGCCTGCTKTGCACCACTACCCTTCTCCGAAGCTGAGGGAGTCGAGGCCGAGTTGTGGCCTTCGGCTGTTTTCTTCAGCAGCGCTTCCGCGCTCCCCGCCTCTCTCGGATCCTTGGCTCTTGCCGGGGACCGAGTCCAGTGCTACCTTGCTCCTCACGAGTCCTGTGGGGACTGAAGAGACTAATTCTTTCGGGAGGCGAGTTCTTTTTTTTTTTTTTTTTTCCGGGTTTAGGACATGGGCCTGGTACCTCTCACTAATTTGTTTTTKGGGAAAAACCTGTTTTCTCTATTTTAAGGAAATAGGAGGCTATACCTTTATCCCACTGCCGCCCTCCGGAGCGGAGAAGTCTGACCCTCAGGCGAATTTAAGAAACATTCTGGGTCCACTCCTCCACCTTTCTAGCTTAGCGGAGAAAACAAGTCTCTTTTAAACATTCAAATTGGAGGGAGCGTCTCTCTCTCTTTATGTCCCTCATTCTCCCAAGTTACACATTTACTAATGCTTCATGGTAGCACAACTATTAGTTTTCCTTTGGAACATTGAATAGAATTGGAGAAAATCTTTTGTAAGATTGTCAATTTCATAGTTTTAATATTTATTCAGAAAGGTTAGTTTTGCTCATGTGGTCCCCTAGTTCCCCAGTATTACGTCCGTACGCTGTTCCCAGTTCCAATCAGTACTTGTCCTCCTGCTTCCATTACCCACTGGTGCCCCCCCCACTCCCTTCCTTTTTATTCAGTAGACTTTTTATTTAARGAGTGCTTGCTTTGGCAAAGCCCTTTTCCAGGTTCCTGTAGAATTATACAGAAGTGAATTTTGCTTTAAACGTTGATCTTTAAGATGGGGATAATTTTTTTTAAGCTCAAAACCCAAACTCTGTGTAATTTAATTTTTTAAATAACTTTTACAGGTGATTGAATTATTCAGATATGAAGATCATCTTCTAGGTTTTGTGTAAAAGGCCCCGGATATTTCAAGTGGCCATTTTGGAATTACAATGTTTTTGGATAATTTTGCCCCTGAAGTTTATTAAAATTGGCAAGAATCATCTCTGAAGTGAATTGATAGTAGTGAACAGATTCTACAAACTACTTAAAAAGAGACCCAGGCATTTCTTCAGTATTTTGGTTCAAACGGATTATATAACTGGTTAAAAGTATTTCAGCTGGTGATATTTTTGCCCCCCCCACCCCCATCCTGTTGTTGTTCTTCAGCCAAACTGTAAGATATGTTTGATTTGTGTACTGAGTAGTTTCAGCAGCTACAAATTACTGTTTTGAGTATTGCTAAAGTTTCATGGCAGTTTATTTTTACCTTTATTAAAACTTTTAGGAATTTTTGACCTCAGCCCTTTTCATGTCACAATGGGACAGCTTTTCTAAATGAAGACATTGAAAGAATACAGAGTTTTTTTCTTTTTATCTTTTACTTACGTGGAAATTTAAGATGTTGCAGTTTTCCACCAGCATGGTAGTATTGAGATAGCTATTTGTGTCTTTTTATGTGCTGATGTTTAGGAATACTCTTCAGATGTGAAATTTTCTGTTCGTTTCTGCTTTTTGGCTCATAAGTTGGATATTTCATCTGGAGTGGATAAGTACAACAGTTACAGTACATGGAATAATAAAGAAGATTTTGATCTTAAATCCGAGGAACTTGGCTAATTCTGGAGATAGCCATATGAAAACTTTAAAACAGAAGTATGGGTAGCTGACTTGAAATAACTCTATGTCAAATAGTCATAGGTTAAGCATCTTCAAAGAACTTGGATATTTCAGAGGATACAAAATAAAAAAACAAACTGGAAAACATAAAGATTACAGAGAAAGAACCAACACCTTCGTGGGCAGTCCTGTTGGAATTTGTAAGTATTATGGTGAGCAAATCAAACATTCATTTGTTAACTGTAATGAGAGTCAAATTTATCCTGTATTATTCTTGGAAACCTTTCATTTTCTTGCAATAGTATTGCTTGGCTTCAGTTTCCTGGACAGTCTGAAAAACAACCATTAACCATTGAGTAAATTGAAATGCAGAAAAAAGATTTAAGGATTAGAAATATTTCAGAAAAAGTCCTAAGTTAAAGGTCTTGTGCTCTTAAAAAACTAAATCCATATGGTCAGTGTTCACTTTGGGCTTGTGGATTCACAGAATAGTAGAAAATTAGGGAAAAACGCAATTAATATTTCACAATTCTGTAAGTTAGCTGTTTTACGAATTAAATGTATGTTTTGTGATAGACAGTTTGCTTTCTAAATGTGGGCTTAGACTTGCAAATAAAGTTTAGTGTTCCATATTAGTTGTTTAAAACAAATTATAACAGCTCTCGGTTTTTAATCTATTTCATGAAATAGCTTGTTTTAAGGCACAACCCTTCCATAACATTTTAATCCGTTATTGGAATTAACTTTTTTTTTTTTTTGGTGCTGGGAATTTAACCCATGGGTGCTTTACCACTGAGCCAGGTTCCCTGCCCTTTTGTTATTTTGAGACAGGGTCTCCCTGAGAGTTACCTAGGCTTCACTAAGTTGCTGAGACTGGCTTTGAATTTGGCAATCCTCCTGCCTCAGCCTCCAGAGTAGTTGGGATTACAGGCATATGCCACCATGCCAGGCCAGAATTAACTTTTTGAAGCAATTTGTTGAAGTGGTTTTGTATTTCAAATTGAGTTAGAATTTTAATTTTAAAAAGGAAACAAATGACCAGGAAAGAAAGAGAAAGGAATGGAGCAAGCAGAATTAAGAACCTTTAAAATCATATGACTGTATTTTTTTCCCCCCTCCCAGGAAAGGTATACTGGTTTAAGATTATAAGCAATGTTTTTTTTTTTTTAATGTTGTGACTATTAATTGCTCTAGTACAAATCCTTTGGCTAATTATGTTTTAATAATATGTTTTTAGCATTGAAAGTTTTTAGTGACCATTAGTTACTGTATTTAATTTTTCAGTGAATTGTGGGCACTCACGGGCGTTGTTTTAAAGAAACTTACTGAAGTTTATGTTAAGGCTGTTAATATTAGTGAACAGAGAGCTCATCTGGCATGTGAGATGAGCATCACATAAAAATAAAAGTATTATGTACACCTACAACTAAAAAAATGTCTAAAAAATAAAGTACTTTAAAAAATATTAGGGAACAGATCAGTGTAAGTAAAATAAATTTGAGCTTATTTCATCTAATTATTTTTCTGAGAGAAAAGATGACTTGTCAGTTGCTCCTTTTATTCTTTTTTTGGGTACAGGAAATTGAACCCAGGGACACTTTACCTTTGAACTACATTCCCCAAGCCCTCTTTTTTTTTTTTAATATTTATTTTTTAGGTATAGATGGACCCAACACAATGCGTTTATTTTTATGTGGTGCTGAGGATTGAACCCTGGTCCCGCCCTTGCTAGGGGAGCGCTCTACCACTGAGCCACAATCCCAGCCCCCCCCAAGCCCTCTTTTAATTTTTTATTTGCAACAGTCAGCCAAGTTGCTCAGGGCCTGAGATTGGCCTCAAACTTTATGTTCCTCCTCCCCCAACCTCCTGAGTCTCTGGAATTACAGACCTGTGCCACCACGCCTACCTACTCATTTATTACTAAAGAAAGTTTTGCTAACCTGTTGAATTCTGTTAGCTCTGCTAGAGCAAAATAGGTAGTAAAGTCCAAAAGAATATAAGTAGTCAGTCATTGTAGGATTTACTTTCTGTTCTAGAATTGAGATCAGAGAGTTTTATAACACTCTCTTGTCATAATAGACTGGGTTGTGTGTGTTTTCTTCATTACATATATGTGTAGTATTTCTAATTGAGTTTCTGTTTCAATTTATATAAAATTTKAGAACATTCTACTCTTCATCTCGGGGAGCTTGTATTTTATGCATTCCAACCTAATGACTTTTCAAGTTGTCTAAGAATATACTTTTGAGATGTGATTATGAAGTTGGACTGGAATCATATGACCTTTATTCATAAAGAAGTTTATAGCATTTATTGTTTATGATAGTTTTTCTTTAAATTCCTTTATTAATCTCAAGCAGTAGTATCAGAATAGAATAGTCTATAGATACTAAAGTTTTTTTTTAACAATTTAATCCTTGTGTAGTCTGACATTTATAAACTTTGCTTATAATAGTTGTTCAAGAACACATTTACTTAAATTTTGTTTTGTTTTGTTTTTGGGTAGTGTGAATTGAACCCAGGGGTGCTTTACCACTGAGCTACATSCCCAGCCCTTTTTTAATATTTTATGACAGGGTCCCCCTGTTGCTGAGGCTGGCCTTGAACTTGTGACCCTCCTGCCTCAGCCTCCCTAGTCACTGGGATTACAGGTGTTTCCACCATGCTGGCCTACTTGAATGTTTTGGTAAATGTTTTCAACATTTTATTTTCTTAGAGTTAAAATAATGGTATCACTAGTAATTGGAGCGATTGCTGGACTGCTTCCCCTTTCCTCTGCATATCTTTTTTTTAAAATCCCTTTTTGAGTCCCCCTACCCCCTTATGTATAAACTATAGGTCTAAATAATTATAAGGTTTATGGATGATAGTGGTGACAGGTGTTTTTTCAGTGGGCTTTATGTGGTATATCTTTGTTTTGATACTGGGGGTTGAACCCAGGGGTGCTTAACCACTGAGCCAGTGATTTTTTTTTTTTTTGGGGTACCTGTGATTGAACCCAGGGGCGCCATAGTACTGTGCTCTTTTTAAAATTTTTTGAGACAAGGCCTTGCTAGGTGAGCTTGCTCAGACCCTTGCTAAATTGCTTAGGCTGGCCTGAACTTGCTATCCTCCTGCCTTCTTAGCCTCCTTGGTTTCTGGGATTATAGTCCTGTGCCACCACCTCTGATTGAGAATTATTTCAGATTGATAATTTTGTGGAATTTGTATGTGATTTTTGGGAAGTACTATTAATTTCAAGCCAGACCCTCATGAAAATGTTAATTACAGGTAAACCTTTTTGTGAGGTGTCAGATAATCATTATAGTAGGACAAACCTTTTTATGTGGTAGGGTCTCTCAATTTTACCTGCTTGCTTTTTCTTTTTTTATCAGCTGGTGGGGCAGCTAGCCCTTGAAGTAATTGTTACACAGGGTTTCCCACTCACTTTTTAAATTTTTGTTATAGGGGGAATTGAGTGAAGGAGCATTCCACACTGAGCTACTACACTCCAGCTCTTTTTTATTTTGAGACATGGTCTCAGTATAAGTGGCCTCAAACTTATTTTTATTTATTTATTTATTTTTAAGAGAGAGAATTTTAATATTTATTTTTTAGTTTTCGGCGGACACAACATCTTTGTATGTGGTGCTGAGGATGGAACCCGGGCCGCACGCATTCTAGGCGAGCCTCAAACTTAGGCTTATCCTGCCTGCCTCAACATCCCAAGTAGCTGGGATTGCACCACCATGCCTTCCTCATTATTTCAACAGTGAATCTGGGATTCTTATGTCTCCCCTCTCCCCCCAAATTTAACAATTTTATTTATAATTGTTATGAAGTTGAACTGCTGAAGCATGTTCACTGAAACATTTTGACCATGTTAATGCTTTATATCCCATGTTTMTATTAAAAACTCACACAAGTGAAAATAGAAAAATGGCCAGTACCTGATTTCTGTACCCTATTTTTCCACTCAGTCATATATGTAGGTACCATTTGACCCCACAGGGGGAAATGTCTAATGTTCAGAACTAACAATAAAAGAAGAGAATGAAATCTTAAGCATGTTCTCCACTTATGCTGCATGCTAGTTGGATGTCTTTTGGCATAGCTGTAACTTGTTTGGTGTGTATAGCACACAGATTGGTGTCTTCAAAAAGGCTAAAAACCAGGTAGGCCTCACTTGCTTCCTTTCAGAGCACTAATAGCTGTGCTCTGCAAGTGCAGGTCTGTTTTGAAGTCCTGAGCAATTTGACACATAAGACACCAGAAGGGGAGTTTGTGAATCAGAAGTTCAGTGGACTTCTGGTAACTTGTAATTTCAGGGAGTGCTACAGTACCGGGCTGTAACAATAAGGTTTCTTCACCACTCCAGTAGAGGGCGTATTCCTGTGAGTGGCTTTTGTAGTCATTTGTTTCCTGGGTACTTTACCACTGATTAGAGAGTGATGGTGGTGCCATTGCAGTGGCTGTGAACACTCTTAAATCTCTTGAGTGCTAGTTATGCTAGACAACTCAGCAAATGAGTGTCCACTTTGTGGTGTGCTATCATTTAGTAGTGAACATAGCAAAAATGTTAAGATCTTTCTGTTCTGAAGTTCTGTGAATATAGAATAAAAGAATCATTGAATTTAAATCATGATTCCATCCCATTGATTAGGTAATAAATATGTGATGTTGGTCAAGGCAGGTTTTTTAATTTTTTTTTTTTTGGTACCAAGTATTGAACTTGGGCATTAAACCACTGAGACACATTGCTAGCCCTTTTTGTATTCAATTTATAGACAGGGTCTCACTGAGTTTCTTGGGGCCTCACTAAGTTGCTGAGGCCGGCTTTGAACTCTCTATCCTCCTGCCTCAGCCTGGAGCTGCTGTGATTACAGGTATGTGCCACCATGCCCAGCCCAGATTTTTTTTAGATAAGAATGTTCTTGTTATTCAAAATAGTGCTTCATAAGGTTATCATTAGAATAAAGTGAAATAATGAGTGCTAAAATGTATTGCAGTTGTAAAATGATAACGATAGTAGTATATAGCTGACTACACAGATGACAGTGATTGAGGACCATGTGATGATGATCCAGGAGGGAGAGTGTGAATTTGGAACATAAAATAAATATAGAATGGACAAAATTCATCAGAATTTAGATTTGCATTTTGTGACATTAAAATTGTTAAAATATGCATTATACTTTTCTGGGATCATATTATTGTAATC